GGGGGGGGAAGGCAGCTCTGTTGTGCAGGTGGAGCAAAGAAATACTCTAGAAAGCTTTTGTGCACTGCCTCAAGCCACCTGTGTGTGTGCCTGGCTCTGGTTCCCTCTCAGCATGAGGCTGTGGTGGGAGAAAGCCCTTTTCTGGGGCCATCCTGCCTTTGTGCTGACCCTGCCTCCTGCTCTGATTGCTGTCTGGGTGGGCCAGTGCCATTCTGGTCTAGGTCAAGATGAGGTAGGTGAAATGAGATCTGTAGTATCAGCTAGTGTTCAGGCCCTGCATACACCACAGACTGCTGGTATATGGGGGACTTGCTGGTGAAAGTACCTGCAGATGGGTGGGAGTGCCTGAAACACACCTGTGTCATAGTCCCAGCAGTAAGAGCAGCAGTAAGAGGGAGCTACAGCTGAGTAGTTTCCCAGCCCCTGGGCAAGCTGGGCTCTTGATGTCATGCTGCAATCCTCATAAATAAATGGTGTCTGACTACCTGGATGAATAATGAAGTAGGTGTGATTAGTTATTAGAAGCCCCTTTTGGAAGGATGCTCTAGGGTGAGGCAGAGCTAATGTATTAGCTTGAGGGAAAAAAAAAAAAGAGGTTCAGAACAAAAGGATAAATCCTGCTTTAAGTGCTTTTTGGCTAAAGCAATGGTGGAGAGCAGCTGCTGAGAACCTGTTTCCTCCTTTTGAAGTGACTGAAAGTGTGACAGCAGCAAGGAGAGCTGGTATTTCTAGGATTCCTCTGATGCATGAGTACTCTGATAGTCCTACTTACTCCAACTCTGTGTGGCCTAAGAGATTAAATATCTGACTGTCCTTATGATCCAGCTAAACTACAGTCTGCACTAGCCCAAATTCATATAGCAATAGCAGCAGACTTAGGCCATTGCTTAGTTCTAGGGGTTTGTTTATCTTTGTTTCTGGAAGACATAATTGTGTTACGTTTGAGCAGAACTGGCAAGAAGAGCTGTGAATGAGACGTCTGAAGAACTTTAGCAGAAATGTGTTCATGCTGCTTTAAAAAAAAAAAAAAACCCTTAAAGAAAATATGGGGCTTTCTTAGTCTTTTTTAATTCTTCTCCGAAACACCTGATGGAAAGGAGAGAATCAGCCACTTATTTTTTTTTAAACCTGCCCTATGCCTGTTCATTGTGTAGTTGATGGTAGGTGCAAAGAGGCTGGTTGATGCTGCCACAGCAAAACAGCAGCCTTTGACCTTCTCTTTACACTGCTGTAAATGCTTGCATAGACAACACTGCTGCAGAAAGTCCTCTGTGCCCACTCTTTCACTCTTGCTTGCCCTGTTTGCATGTGGTTACTTATAAGGTCCAGAAAAGACATCCTGGAAAGAGTAGGATAAATGAGAAAATGAATTTTGCTACTACCTGAGACCCTTCTGAGAACATGAAATGAGTGGCATCCATCAATGCAAACTTTGTGTCTGGTTGTCCCAAGAGTATGGAGAGAAAGGTTCTTCAGGCTGGATCCTTTCAGCCTGGGACAAGAGCCTGCTGGTAGCTTTTTGTAAGACCAGGTTCTCGGGAGCGTGCCAAGCAGTTCCCTTTGGTCTCCGCTCTTGGAGTACAGCGAGAGCCACTTAGTGCTTTGTGCTTGGAAAGGCTGCCTCATAACACAAAGGCTCAAGACATTGAGAGTTTGGATTCTAGCTCTCTCTAAACAGAGCATTACAGGTAAACTAAAGGTGTGAATACATGTGAGCTTGTGTGCCAGGGATCTAGGCTGGGGACTTGGAGAATATCAGCAGGAAAAATGAGACCAAGACAGTGAGGCTTAGAGTGCTTGCTTGTTCTGGACGCTCCTGTATACTGTGTAGGGCTTTATGCTCAGAGTATTCCTGATCTGTGGTTTGCTGGAGTATAGCAGAGCTAATGATGCCATCTCAGCTCTTCCCTGTGCCTGCTTCTGGAAAGTAGTGACTTCCTGCACTTGATTTTCTTTTTTTTTTTTTTCCTTTTGTGCAAACAGACTTGAGTTTCTGTGCCAGGCCAAGATGCCCTAGCCTAGTAAATAAACACAGATGAATCTTCAGGGCATCTTGCTGTTGCCTACTATGAGTTCCCTGAAGAGTTTGCTTGCTTTCTCATCTATAAAGAGATCATAATTATGATTTCTTCTGTATCTTTCTCCCACTGCTTTACCCGTTTATATTAGACTCAGTGGTTATCTGGGAAGCTTTACAAGGCACAAGCCTAACACAGCTGTGACAAAATCATTTTCCCTGAGCAAAACGGTAGGTTGTAGGAAGATCAAAATAAGGTCTTTTGCTTGTTCTTGCGGCTGCCGCCCTAGTCTAGGTTTTCCACTGTCAGCCCAGTTTTCGTTCAGGCAGCTGTAGCCATCTCCCTTTCCTGGGTCTGTGATGCTACATCAGAGGGAAGATGGGAAAGGAAGGGTGTGGAGAGGGAGGAAGTGGGGAACAGCTTTGCAGAGTCAGCTGCTGCAGCTAGTCTGTCCAGGTTTCCAGGAGCCTGCTCCTCTTTCCGGGAGGCCTGAAGTGAGGAAACGATTTGACTGTCCAGTGTTGGGTTAATTGGGGGACGGCGGGGGGGGGGAAAGAGGCTGGAATTCAAAAGAGCTTTCTGTTTCACTGGTGAATCTACAAGCTTAGAAGGAATTGGGACAAGTTTAATAGGCTCTTGGAAAAATGCAGAGCGGGATGTGGGGACAACTTCTGTATGGCCTGAGGCCGGGATAATTGCAGAGCTGAAAGGAACTGGTAAGATTAAGGGTGTACGCTGCGTTGTTACGACAGAATTAAAAGCACCAATCCAGAGAGCTTCTTGCGAGGATGCTGTGTACCTATCAGTGTACTGTTACAAGATCTCTGCGATGCAGCCTCTGCGTTTGCTGATTTTACTCTAAACATGAACCAGCTACTTGCATTTCTTATGCTTCAAGAAATTAGGCGGGTTGATCCTGACTGCTATGGCTGTGCCAGTAGGTGTCATAGCAACTGGTTGTCACTTACCCCGATTTTCCTGCATGTCTGATCTGCAAAGCAGCACCATGAGAAAAGCTATCCTCATAGTATGCTCTTAAAACAGAAGTCTCTCTGAGAGCTTCATCAAACTTACTATATGTTGCTCTTTCCTCTTTTTTGGTTGTTGTTTAAACAAAAGCCATATATACGGTATTAACGAAGAACTTACACACCAGTCCCCTGATTTCTTAGCCTGCCTTCTCGCAACACCATTTTTAGTATTTTAAATACAATCAAATGGTGGCTGCAAATCTAACAGCCTCTGATGCAAACAGAAGTTCCAGTATATACATAAGTAAAATCTTCCAGGCGATAGGTCCCTCTTTATGTGCCATGCCCAAAGTGTAAGCTTGTTCACTTATGCAGGTAACAGGTTACTTAGCTTTGTGTGCCCCACAGATGGGGGATCTCCAAAACAAGGCAAGAAGGAAATTAGCCTCTAGCCACTGTCAAACTAATATAAACCAACTTTACCAGTTTCTTGGTCTAGTGCTGGTCACAGTGTGGCTAGGCTGGAAAATCTGCACCTCTGTAACAGATTCTTAGGACAGTGCCAGCTGTTGATATTTTCTTTGCTCTCATATGGGGATGAAAAAAAAAAAAACCCTGAGAGCTTTTTTTAACTTCAAATCTCAGTACAGATAGAGGATCTTAGGTATCCTCTCCCATGGCAGCCTGTTCAGTGTGGTTTTCTGGACTCAGAATGGCAAGTTTTGTCTAATAGCACCAGGACTGACTGTTTACATTGATGCTCTCGGCTGGAGTACGCTAGCAATATCGGTGAGTTGCATCAACTTACACTTGGTAAATATCTGTCCCTTTAGTCTTGCTTTTACTTTCCTTCTCCGTTTTTATGCATAAAACACACATTTTCCTCTTTAATCTACCCACTTTCCTGCGGTCTTTAAAGTTATTGTGGTGCTAAGAGCTTATTTGGAAAAAGCCATTGTTGGCTTTGAATCAGTTAGACTATTGACACTTTGTATGCATGTGTCTGTTACAGCTACAAACTAAAAGTATGGATCTGTCCTGCTGGCAAAGCCAGCCAGGTTCGGCCCTTCTTGCTGCCAAAACAATTGAGGTGAGCAGTGGTGTTCCCAGCACGCAGCTGAATCTCGTCCGGCTCTGGCTGTGTTGTTCCTTCCCCAAAGATGTGTGTTGGCCTACCTGAACTCGACTTGCTACTGATCATGTGACGGTTCAGCTTGCTGGCTGTGCCCGAAGGAAGAATAAGGAAAATATTGTACTTCACAGCTGTTTTCTCTCCTAAAGATTCCTTCAAGGATGTTAACAGCAAGTCAGGTGGATGTACTAATATCTTGTCCTTCTACTTTCTGAGCAAGAACTAATGCTAAATGCTAAAAGTTGTGGAGCCAGAGTGCACTGGCCAAGCCTGTGCTCCAGGCCTGCTCCTCCTCTGACAAAGAGGACGTTTGGGTTCCCCTTCTGAGGCTTGGTGAGCAGTTGCTAGTGGGCTGCCGAACTCTTCTTCCTACAGCCACCTCCTTTCAGAGGTGGCACTGCTGACTGGATGGGTTTGAAACCAGTTCGTATCTCTTCTTTTTCTTTTTTTTTTTCTTCCCCCTTTTGGAACTTGTTTATTGTGGAGCTTAGTGTTCATGTTTTGGGTTCCTGTTGGCTTACCCATAAGCATCCTGCCTGGACTAACCCCGACGAGTGTCTCTGGGTATCCCTATTGGTCTGTAAAATGTGTAGGAGATCTTTCAGCTGTAGCTGTGACTAAGCTGCAGTGCTCTCTTTGCACATCTGCTTCCTCTTGGTAGCAGAGGAAGGGAATGATAAGCTTCAGTTCAGAGCAGCAAACTGGAGGGCATCGTAAATGACCTCCTCTAGAGTGTGGGAATAAGGAGACACTCCCACTGAAAAAAACAAGCCTTAAATGTGCTTACCAGTTACTGAGAGAATGCAAGTGTCTTAAACTCGGTCCAGTTCACTGTTGTAACTGACTTAAATGCCTGGTGGTGCTAGTTTTGAGGGATGTTACCTGAAGTGTTAGGCAGGCTCACCATGTATACCACCTCCAGCCTGGAAGGGTTTAGCTGAGGCTTGATGACCAGGTTAACTTTGGGGCCTGGTAGATGCTGGTGGATTCGGTCTGTGCATATTGTGATCCTTCACGAGGTAAAGGTGACATTGTACTTCTCGAGACCTTAACCGGATTTCTTTTTTTCCTTTAATTGCAAATATCACTAAACCTTTTTTGTCCTCGTACTCTTTTTTGGCAAAGAGTGAAGCTCATTGCTTGGTAGTTACTAAAACTAAAGTTAGACTTCATGTTTACAGCTAACAGGGAGATTATGCTTTATTCAGTAATTGCATAACATTACAGGACTGGAAAAAGCAATTATTTTAAAATGTACTTGTCAGTCCTACTACATTGTTTGACTTTGGACTGTAAAGAGGAATTCTGATAGGAATTAAAACTCAAATTTACTTTCTAATCCAAGACTTCTATAAAGTCCTGGATCCACTGAGGGGATGTGGAGTAGGAAGATTTCTTTACTTCTAAGTGCAAGATATATATTAATTTGTTTTGACTATTTTTCTCTCTGTAGCTAGCCTTATAAAATTTTAAGAAAAAAAGATTTACGTCTATCTGGCCTAACTCAATTGAAGAAAATGATACTTTCTGTAAAAACTACTGTTTGAGCAAACTAATCCTGGGCCTAAACAGATTTTATTTTTGTACAGCAGCAGAAAGTTACTGCTAGCAAAAAAACTGGTTTAGCATTTCAGCACTCAGGTAGGTTAGTGGGTTTTTTTTTTAATTCCTAAACTTTTGGCTATAAATGTATTACTCAAGTTTTATTTAACAGAATACCTTCCGATTAACTCTCTAATATTTCTGGTTTGTGTGAGAGGGGAGTTGTGGCAGAATGAGGACTACACAGGTCCTACCCTCTGTGAGCAGAGAACAGAATCAGCTTAAGTTGCTGTAAGGAAGCATTGAGTTGGGGACCAGGAAACGCTTTACCCAGCGAGGATTAAGTGCAGGTTATTTAAGTGATGGCCCTGAGTTCTCAGCAAATCTGTTCCTCAAAGCACCCACGAAGAATGAAACAGGTGGTGTGTTGATCGAGACTGTCTTGTATCCCAGAAAGGAATGACGTAGGTGAGTATTGGTGTTTTTCTTTAAGTGCCTGATATTAAGCAGGAGAATTGAAAGACTGTCAGAAGTATGGCCTTGGCTTTTTGGAGAGTGTCTCCTTGTTTTGTTTCTATATGGATAGATACATAGAGCAATGGAATTTCACAAAAACTCTTGAAAAAATTAACTGATAATGGGGGGGACCTGAGGTGGGCTTCATTTTATTCTGTGAATTATTTGCAATAGCGTGTTGTCTTCTGATGTCCTTAGGTATGTAAGAAGAGCTAATCTAATGGTGGTTAGAGAGACTGAGAAATGTTTCCAGCAAACCTGACTCAATTGTCTCTTTGTGTTAAAGACAAACCTCTCCGGCTTCTAGTTGGAAACGCAAGTAAATCCAGTGCCGCACTTGGGCTGCGATACAGTACTTGCCATCCTCAGTTACGGCGTGGTGCCTGAGCTAGCGGTCGCCATCCTCTCCACCTCCGTTTCAACTCTTTCTGAATCAGGGGTGGGGGGAACACCACAGACTGACTTCACCCAGCTTCCCGTGCTCCTACCGCCCACCTCCCCTTCCTGAGAGGGGCGCCTGCTCGAGTGGACGGACCGCTTGCTTTTGGGTTTATTACTTGCTCCTCTTATATCCCCGCTTCTTAATATGGACGGGTATCTCTCGTCTTGCTGCATGCTGTATCAGACACTTCAAGGGCTTCTGCCTCTGTAGATACGCGGAAGGGAACGTGACCTTAAACTACTAACAAGCTCCCCCCTCCTTCCCCAAAAAGCCCTCTTTCAAGTCTGCCCCTTTGCGGTTGGGGTGGAACTTGGTCAGGCTCAATCCGGCTTGCAGGGGCAGTCCGTTTGGGCTCTTAAATCTTGCAGGGGAATGGGGGGAGCAGAAAGGCGTGAGGAATAAAAGCGGAGCGGCGCGTCCCTGAACCGGTGCGTTCTCGGCTGCTTTGCACCTTCCTCTCGCTGCAGGTTGGCGCTGCCGTGAAACTTTCTTCCCCGCCCCCGCCCTGCCTGTCACCGCCTGCCGGCGCGGCTCTCGGAGCCGGAGCTGTCCACAGAGGGAGGTGCTGAAGGCAGGGAGGAAGCAGAGGGACGCGGACATCTTCGCTCCCCTAATTTCCTCCCTGCCTTCTGCAGCCATTTTGCACCAGCAGAGCTAAAGGAGGTGTAAGAGGGCAGGGAGGGGGGCGGACAGTAAAGGATGGAGGGGAGAGGGTGAAGAGCTGCGGAGAGCAGAGGCAGCTACGGGAGATCCCAGCTGGTATCTCTGCTAAGACTGGCTCACAGCGGCAGCTGTCATCAGCAACATGGTGAAAAGGAAAAGCTCAGAGGGCCAGGAGCAGGAGAGCGGCCGTGGCATCCCTCTGCCCATCCAGACCTTCCTGTGGAGGCAGAGCAGGTGACAGCAGCAAGCCCTGGGTGCTTGGGATACAACTGCAACAGGGCAGTGGAAGTGGGGAGGGAAGGTAAGCCAGCTGCCGCCCAGTGGCGGGGAGGAAGTGGCTGTTGCAGCTGTAACATGAAGGCACGAAATAAGCTGTTCTCTCTGCCCTTAATATAGAGCAATTTGTGTGTATTGGGGGTGGGGGGAGGACTGGAGATCACTTAACCTGGTGGCAAACTCAGCTTCTTGATTTGACTTTAAAACATCCATGTACGTGTGCATCTAGGCACTTCCTCCGCTCTCCCCCTTCCCCCCCCCCCAGGCCTTCTAACAGGACTTCAATCAGTTGGCGCTCTGGCACCAGAAACAGTATTCCACAGTGCTGCACCAGACTTGCAGCTTTGCTTGTGTGTCTGTATTTACAGCAGTTCTGGAAGTTGTAATCTATGCTTTGAGAGGTCAGCATGCAAACAGATACGTCAAAGCCTCGCCCTATTTCATTGGATTGAAGAGTACTGATGTGTGAGGGGCAGGCTGAATGTATGGTTGGGCTTTATGTTCTTTCCAAGTCGTGACTGTCTCTTGTCTTAAGAGAATTCTAGACTGAAAACACTGCAGGATTGTCGGCGGGGGGAGAGGGGGAGGGAAGATTAGGAGGTTTGAAGGTTGTGTTTTTAACTTATGGCCTCAGTTGCAAGATCTCATTATTCTGACTGGTTTCTGTGACCTCTGAGGAAAATTCTGTACGATGGTGACCTGATAAATCTCATTATTATTCTTATTTAAGATATAACTCTGACTTTCTTTGGAGGGGAATGACAGCAGAGGTGAGTATTCTGTGACTACAGGGTATGGACCTGCATTTCATCGCAAACCTTTCAGATTAGCAATTGTAGAGGAAACCACTAGGACAACTGACAAATGGATCCCTAGCTCAAAATATAGGCAAGCCAAGGTTCAGTAATATTTAACATATTTTAAACACAATGCTATGAAAAAATCTGTCACTGAAGTAAAATGACTGAAAAATGTCTAATAGAAGATTTAATCTACTTTCAAGAAATGTCCTGTTCCACATGGATAAACTATCTCTTGGCCTACTAATGTGGGTACTCTTGTCTTCCAGGAAAAGTATTGGTATTTTGCCAGATGCTATCAACAGGTGTCTGTGACTTATTTTGGGGTAATGTCTGTCTTAATGTGGAGTTTCTCAGCTGTTTTCCACCCTTGTGGCATGTGAAGAATCCCCAAGATAACTAAACAAAATAATACCTTAAGCACTGTGTCTCTAACAGTTTGTTTTTTCTCTTTCAGTGCGTTTTTAAGACCTAAATTGGGGAAACAGTACGAAGCTTCCTGTGTGGTAGGTACATGTTTCTTTTTCAGCTCATATTAATGAGTAACATTCCATGCAACTTCATCTGTGGTGACTGATCAGCAGGCTTCTCAGCTTACCTGAGAAGTCGATCTAGTCCATTCAACTTCATTTATTACTTTTATCACGTGAAGGCTTTGGAACCTTTCCCCGTCTAGAGAATTTGGATATTGTATACATCTCTAGACACAACAAAAATACAGACTTGAATATTCGTGTTCAACGGGCACCGTAAAGAATGGTGTGGTGAGAGTGAGCCAAGGCGACTTGGGTCTAGACTTGCAGTCCCTCATGTATATGCTTAATTTCAGATGAGATGAGTGTGGCTTTAGTCTGACTAATGGAGCTTTTCAGAATTCAGGACTGAAATGATACATTTCTAACAATAGGCTTTAAACTATATTTTTCCTTTCGTGCAAGACAAACCTCCTGTGTCAGAAAATGGAGGATACTTATCTCAACAGCATAATCAAAGAGGTTATTATGCAGATACTAATAACTAATTTCTAACTGTGTTTAGAATGAAATCTCCATCTAGTCTCGAAAAGGGCAGAAATGGAGGGCATCCAGCAAATTCGAATTACATAGGTATCTAGGGAACTTTAAAATTCCTTGAACTGTTGCTGATCTTTGGATGACTTAAAGTACATTAAGTAATTGCAGCCAAAGTTGACGGAGTGGAAAAATGCGGTCCGGACATGTATCTTCATAGTTTAAAGTAACTAGGTCTCTCTGCAGCAATTTTCTGACTCCTTTCTCATAAGATGTTAAGCTAGAGAAGCCCTAACCACTGTTGACTAATTTTCTTCTAAGAAAGGTATAAATTTTTCAGGATTATTGCTAGATAGCAAATGCTAACAGAAGCCTGCTGTCTCACTGTGTTGGTGGGTAAAATGCATGGTAATTCTGCCCTGTGGAGCTCAGAACATCGTCAGTGGTTATACTGTTGAGAACAGCTGGCTGTACAGGGGATGCAAAATGGAGCTTGTTGCCTCATATCCTCCAGGAGCCTCAGCAATGTGCAGAGGCTGTGCCTTGACATACTGGTGTTCTGGCTTGCTTCCTTCCTTCAGCTGGTAGCCTTCAATTACCCAGCTGCCCTTATGCCAGCAGAGCTACAGTTGCATATTTACATGCTGTAGGCTTGGTAGAAAGCCTCACTTACAGTGTTGAAGTGTCACAGCTGGTGACACGCTGGTGAGCTCAGTGCCTGTTTCATTTAAAACTGGTCACATCTGTGACCTGAGGGCTGCAGTGTCATGCTTAGGTAGAAACCTCAATACATGAAGAGAGATGGTTGCTTAGCATTTAAGGAGACAGGAAGAAGGGAGAAAAAGTAATCAAACCTGTCTACAACAAATACACAGAGACTATATCCACACCTGGAGAAGAGACCTGGAATTACCAAAGGCCCCCTTCAGTTATGTATAGCTCAAGCAGAAACAAACATGAGACTTTGAGGCAACCTGAACTGATCTGCATGAAAATCCAATCCACTTTGCCACTTGGATGAAGGAGAACTTGATCCATCTCCAGTTCTTAACGTAATGGTTAATTATGATAGAAGACTTCCAAAGGTAGAGCTTAGTTTTGAGTAATTGATGGGATGCGGCCTGAGCTGTTGTATCTGTCATTTTCTTTTGCTCATCATTTTCCTTTCCTTGGCATGGCACAGGAAGGCATGACCACATCAACACCTTCCATGTTACCCTCTGGCGTATCAGTGCTGTGCATGTGGGTGAGAAAGTTTCTGGAACTTGATATGTAGTCAGCTTGTTTTCTGAAGCATCAAGCTGGTTATCTAACATCACTGTATTGACTAATATGCCTAAAAATGCTGCACCTGTTATGACCTGTCCTTATTAAAAGTTCTGGCCAAGATGATTCTCAGCATGTCTGTAGGCTGTTAGCTGTCTGACAGTGCATACAGCAACACTGTATAGCATTTTGTTATTATTCCTACCTCTAAACTTACTGCAGTAGAATTTGATAATATTGTGCATTGACCAAGCAGATGCATGGGGCCTAGATTCAGTAAGTACAGCGTCTGGTCTGTAACAACACACCATTGGTTGTCTGAGCTTTACTTAACATGACAAGATAGTCGGGGGGGAGGAGAGGGAGACATTCAGAGGTATCACTGTACACATCATAATTTTTACTTAAGTATTAAAACTTATCCCTTTGTTTTCCTTACCTGAACAGTCACACTGACTTAACTTGATCTGTGAATACAGGCCTTAAACCAGAAATTAAATCTTCTCTCCTCCTCACGTTTTCTTGCTCTATCTAAATGCTCTTGTGCCTCAATATAGTTCTAATTTCCTTCCTGTTCCCTGTTCTGAGGGTTTTCTGTCCTGACTTTATGCCTTTTCTAAAGTGCATGAATCAAATCTGTAAGTGACTTCACAGAAATGTATGAGCGGCAGACAAAGCCAGTGCTTTTGGTGGATGGAGGGAAGGACTCAAGGGTATGTGTTAAAACTTGTGCACAGATTGCATTGGGCATGGGAGAACTCAAATGCTTTCTGGAGAAATGAGCAAATTCAAAGCGGACTCTTCCCCCACGCCAAATATAGTATGCATTTTGTTGTCATGAATGATTAAAGGATAGATGCAGGGGGTGGGGGGAAGCTTGAAAAAGAGGTGGTCTTTATTTTTATCCAACCTTTAGTTGGAGAGGACTTTCCCTAGGCTGACAAATACTGCCTGCCGGTGCTTAGGCTGGCTGGAAAGAGCTTGAAGTGAACTTAGCAAGAGTTTTCTACTTTCTACCATAATGTACAGCCTGAGCTCTGGAAGTGCAAGGTAGTGCTGTTACATCCCAGGAATGAATTGAGAAGCACTGCTGGCTTACGCTTTGTGTGTGTATTTACCATTTTTCTCCTTTTTGAGTGAGAATACCTAAATTTGTGCCTTTGCTGAGATCCTCCTGTACAACCGCTTGGTTGCGGAGAGGGAAATATACTAGGCTAAGCATTGGGATTTTGCAGGGTTGGGGGAGGGCGTTTTGATTTTAATTCACAAAAGGGGAAGTATCTGTGGAATTCACATCTGGAGAAGAATGGCCACATTCAGTGTGAAGTAATAGAAGTAATAGTTGCATTAACAACATGGCCTCTTTGAGGTTTTGTGGGGAAATTGAAGCTGTGGGTGGTGTCTTAGACAGCTACGGGGTAGGCTTTCCACTACTACTATAGGTAAGGTAAACAAGTGGATTATGTGAGTGTGAGAAATGGGGAGTGCAGTGAAATCTGGGATGAGACAGCTCTGCCTAGAATACAGATATTCTAGAGGATGAGGGGCATGTCATGCAACCCTCACTTCCCTTATCACCAAATCTTGAGGTGCCTGGCATTGGGGTGGCAAAAGGGGCCTAAGTTCAATAACCTTGCTGCTATGGCTTTCTGCTTTCTTTTTTTCTTGACTCATACCTGCAAGAGTTACTCCCCTGGATGAGGGCTTCAATTCATCTGCCCTTCCTGGGAGGAAGGAATGTTGAGACTTTGAGCTTCCCAAGTCTTGTCTGTCTAAGTGGGCATTCAGGGGTCGGACTGATTCCCATGCTTCCTAGTGCAGTCTGCAGCAGGTACAGCTCCCCTGGGCTTAAAGCAGAGGAAGATTGCATGACTGGATCAAACCTCTGTAGGAGACCTATGGCAAAGGCAGAGCTAGAAGCTGCTCTGTCCTTCTATATGACTTGTCTAGGCTTCTACCTCTTCCCTCTCTAGCAAGCAAGTACCATACGGGCTGACCCTGGTCACAGGGTATTTGACAGCCCCTATGGCTTCTGGTGGAGAGGAGGGTACAAGAAGAATGGCAGCAGTGGAAAGGCAGCCAGACTAGACTGACTGCTATTCTCTGCACAAACAGATGGTATCCCCAGGCTCAGGAAAAAATGCTAGTGTAAGTGACCTGGAGGGAGCTGAACACATGTACCTGCAAACACCTACCCTGCGCCCGCCTGTCCTGAACAGGGGCAGCACTGCTGCAGGGATGACCCTTTCTCCAGCTGAGGTGTGATACTGACTTTCCTCTCTACCACCTTGGCTGATGGTCCTTAGCCTCCTTTGGCACATGGGGTGCTGCAGTCATTGACTTGCCTGCTACAAGTAGGTGACGTGTTTTATTAGCCAAGCAGCAACCGTAAGACTGCTGCTTCAGACATATCCCTAACATTACAATATCCCTTTTCTAACTGACTTAGAGCTTAGTTCAGACAATCTCTTCAGCCTTTTCATTGAAGTGTGTAACACTTCTCCGCTCTAGCAGTAGTTGCTTAGTTCATTCCGCGTGAAAATTATAGGTCTTTCATCTTAATGGCTGTGTATTCCCTGTATCAAATCTTGAAAGTTAGAGTAGAGCCATTCCAGACCAAAAGGGATGCTCCAGAGGAGTAAATGCTAACCTGTAGCCCTACATCCTGAATGTCTGGCCTAGGCAGAGACTGCTTTGAACTGGATCTCTGTGGAGAACTTGGGGCAAATCCCATGAGAACACCTGTCCAAGGAACTGCATGTTGCTGTTGAGCTACTTCTGGCAGTCATTATCAGCGTGGGGAATGGTATCAGCCAGGTCCCGTGATGACAGTACATACAGAGTGGTGACTTTGTACCACTAGTGCCCCTAGCATACAGAAACACTCAGTGGTTTCCATACATAGCTTTTGTGTTAAGAATTTTCTGGCAACCTACAGCATTTCCATCACAGATGCTTGTGATCACAGATGCTGTTTGAGGATCTAACTGGCCTGAAGAAATATATTCAGCTTCCTGCCTAGGCCAGGAATCAGAAGAATCTGGTGGCTAACTCTGTAGGAAAAGCTGCATGTGGCTCAAACCCAACACACTGGCATGAATGCAAGCTTAATTAAAAAAACGAAACAAAAAAAAAACCCAGAAACTGGAATTTCAGAAGTATTCTGAATGTAAGCCACAGCTTCCAGAAGGCAGTTCCTTGACAACTTTCTCCCCAATGCCACTGAAATATGGGGAAATGGGAACTTTAATGGAAAACTATAGTGATAATGTCTTTCAACACATTTCAGAATAGAATTGTTGCTTTCAGTGATGTCTTCCCCTCCCCTTGTTTTATAAACTTAATAGCTTGTCACTGTGCTGGAAGATGTGATCTTCTAGAGTTTGTTCTACTGGGGATGAAAAAATGCATTCTCTAAAAATGCCTAAGTTATTGTTGGTTTTGGTGCTTGGTAGACCCTTCTGTGAGCTAATTCAACTCTCTAAGCTGGTAGAAGTTACTTGCTTTCATACTGAGCATCGTTTTGGCCAGTGTGGAGGCTTGAATTTGCTCCGTGAGGGCTTCGGTGAGCCCCAGAGCCGATGCAAGATTGATGGTGGGAGAGTATGGCTGGAGCAGCAAGTGTGGAGTGGAAGATGGCACCCCTGCTTGTCCCCTTTTGACAGAAATAAATAAAAATCACATCTCTTTCACTGGTCTCTTCAGATATTAATGGTGCATTAGCCCTGCATCTCTTATCTTGCTTCGGGAGATACTCTGCTACTTTGTTCTGCCTTTTCTTAGGTAATCCTGTTTGGAATGGTTGCTCTAGATCTCTTCTGTCTCTGTTGGGTGCTCTTATGGTTTAATGACCTCATAGTTCCTGAATCAGAGAGAATATCTGGGTCTTTCACTGAGCACTGGACTTCTTCCCCTTCTTCCCCCTGGCCCCCAAGCATCAGCCACCCCCTCACTTCAATGGACTTCACAACCTGCTCTCAAAAGCCAGGGGGGAGCTGGGGTTTCCTTGGGGTTACTGCTTGTATTCATGAAGGGTATAAATGAAGCCTCATTTCCCTGAACAGATAGGAATGAAGGACAGGAGGTGGTTTTCTGCACAGATACTCAGCGTGGCTCCCAACAAATCTCTGACCATAAGAGAGTGATTTAGGGCTTCCTTTCTGTGGTAGCCATGTCATCCAATGCTTTCCTTCCTAGTGCTAAGAAACCTAATCCTGCTGCAACCTAATCTGTGGCCCATTATTTTTGACCAGTCCTGGTGAAGTCAGCCTTTTTTGTTCATGTGTTATAGTTAATGCTCCCCAGTTTCAGCCATTGCTCCATAAAGAAACTTGATGGAGTTTTCTGACAGGAACTTGGGGTTTCCTAGTAGGTGGGGAGTGTGACTTTCCAGAGAGTTATATTTATTGGCAGACCTCATACTTCTCGTCAGTACTTCCTCGGGTTCAATTTGTGTTTCTACAGGCTTAGTCACTATAGCCACGCTTAGTGCAGCCTGTTTCCACTTCCCTTACTCTGTTTTTGCCTGGTGCTTTTGGGGAGTTTCTGTCTTAGGTTCTAAGTACTGACAGATGCATGTTTCTCTGCCTCCAAGCTGGCCAGAGCAGAGCCAGCTGTCCCAGGGATGCTGTAAAGCTACTTTAGTGCAGCACTATGTTTGAACTAGCAAATCCTGCTTCTCAGTAGAGAAGCTCACGTCTGTCTACAGCAGCGGATGTGGCTGTGGCGTGAGAGAACAAACGTGCAAAGCTGCTTGGGTATGCAGAAGAATATGCGACTGGTTGATATTCCATGTGTTGGAGTAGCTGGTCATGTAGGAGCGCTAGATTATGATCGCTGCCCTTTTTCCTTTCCTCCTTTCTAATTGCGTCTATTTCTGTCAGTGCCCTGCTTTTTTTTTTTTTTTAACAGGAAAAAATTCTTATGATTAGTGTTGAAGGATAAGCTTTATGAATTTGGAGTGAGGGCATTTGAAGCAACCATTAGGTTGAAAATGCCAATGGTTACTTGATTGCTCCGAGCCTGATGAAATTAGTGAAACGGCTTGTGAAAAAGTAGGGAGCCAGGAAGCTAAGCTAGTGAACGGCAAGAGCATGTATTATCAGTAACGTATTTCTTGGCTTTAGGAACTTCAGTATAGGAGCGTAACTGCTTTTGTGACTATAATGAGATCTTTGTATCTGGTCAAAAGAAGAGCTTATCAAAACAGTTGGAGCAGCTAGCAATAAAGAACTCCTTTGGGGATTTCAAAGGCAGATAGTCTTGTTTTGTGTTGCTCAAGGCAAAAATAACGAACCCGCTACAGCCATCAGCTCTTTTAAGTGTTCACAAAATGACTACTTCATGGCTTGCCAACAAATTTTGTGCACTGATTATTTTTTGTAGCAGAGTGTGAAAACATTTCCTAAGGCACATGTACCTTTTTAATGGGTTGCCCTTTATGCTACACTTAACTGAAAGAGAAAAGAGTGTGTGTATATATATGCGTGTGCGTGTGTGCGAGACGGAGAAAAGTATTGAGCTCTTAGGTCCACAAATGCAGGCTTTCATTAGTTCCTGTGACTTCCAGCAGGATTACTGGTGTGTCAGATTAATACGCAGCACAACTGCAAGTTTGGCTTGATCTCAGTGCTTATTTATATGTCTGTGATACCTGCTTTAATTCTTTTTATTAGAGAAAATATATTGAGTGGCCTAATTATTTCTTAGTCAAGTACATCCATATGTCTGGTGAGCTTTAGCTTTGTCTTTCAGGAAAAATATTCTAAGGAATGATATAATGAAAACATACAGATTACACATTTTTAAAGCAGCATGTTGTATGTCCTGGAAGGCCTGTGCAGAAATAGATATATGATGTCTTTTTTTTTTTTTTTTCCTCCTCAAAGTCTTTTGAAAGAGTTTTAGTAGAAAACAAGCTGCATGGCCTTTCTCCAGCTCTCTCCGAAGCCATCCAGAGCATTTCTCGCTGGGAACTAGTCCAAGCTGCGCTCCCACATGTGCTGCACTGCACTGCAACATTGCTCTCCAACCGAAACAAGCTAGGTTAGTGCTCGTGTGAGTTTGATTTTCCCTGTTATTGAAGTTATCAGTCAAAACAGCACAAGCTGTTTCTCAGGGTGCCACACAGCAAATTCGAAATCTTGTGTTAGTTCATGGTGTGGGTTACATCTCTTGATCTGCTCTCATTTATAGCCGGTAAACTGGGAGAGCTTCTCCAGTGAAGTTAATGGACTTCTTCCAGCTTTAGAAATCATGAACTTAAGAGTCAAATTAGTGTTTTGCTAGTTATTTTCCAAATCTATTAGAACTAACTTTAACATAAGTCTTGCCACCTAACAAGGATGAGAATACGTATTTCTTTCAAGACACGATGCAGTGCCCAATTACAGCTTTTAATAACTTCAGTATCTTTTTTTTCCCCAGAATGAAGTAGTTGATTCTTAGTTGGGATTCTCAGCAGAAAAGCCAGTCAGTCGGTCAGGATAGGGCCAGGTCCAAATCTAACATACTTTACAAGCCTTTTACTGATTTCAACAGGAGTTTGCGTCATGAGGTACACTGGTAGGAAATGTTAACAGGACACAGCTCTAGCAGCTTGCAGTGTTTACTTGCATTCTGTTTTATTCGATAGAGACAAACGAGATTTTCAAGCCAGCATCTTTTAAGACCACTGCATGTCCATTAACGCATTTGCCCTGCAACTGACATTCAGGGACTGAACTGCAAATGCTGTGAAGTAAATAGAGATTTGTGAATTAGGAGGTTTCAAATACAACCTAATAGAATGCTAATACTTTTAATGGTAGAACTTTAATTTTCAAGATTGCATCAGGAAGTTGGATGGTCGGTTAGTTTCCTGTGTGTCTCTGAAATTCTCAACAGTACCGTGAGTGGAAAACCTGTGCGGTACTGTGATGCATTTTTCCATCCAGGACATCAGGATAAGCTTGGAGTAGCTGAGACAAAGCTTCTTCACACTCTTCACTGGATGCTGCTAGAGGCCCCTCAGGACTGCAGCAATGACCGGTTTGGAGGAGACAGAGGTTCCAGCTGGGGAGGAAGCAGTAGTGCCTTTATCCACCAGATTGAAAACCAAGGATCACCAGGACATCCCCAGCACAGCACCACGAATGATGAGGAGGAGAATAACAGAAGGAGGTTCTTCCAGAACTCCATGGCCACAGTGGAGCTCTTTGTGTTTCTCTTTGCTCCTCTTGTCCACAGAATTAAAGTAAGTGAAACACTGATGGGGTACTTGTGGGGAG